TAAACAAAGTTTGGTATAAAAAAAAATCCTGAAACCTAAAAATTTATTGATTTAAAAAAAAAAAAATCCCGTTGTTTTTGCCTTTTCGTGTCTATTCTTGTCATTTTATTTTTAGAAAACCTGAGTCCTGGTGTCCTCTACAGAGGACATAGCATAACATATGAATAAAATATAATTTTCCAAAAATGTTATTTTACCATTTTGTTCTTATGCTCTAAACAATGTAATGACATGAAAAAATACTAAATTCACAAAACTTTTTATTTCTGGTTCTCAGGAGGATATAATAGAAACGCTCATTTAGATCATCAGACGACAAATTCAAAGAGACCAAACATGGTATCGGTGAGGTTACATTAACGTGATCTATCATAGCACACACACAAAACGGTATACAATTCAAAAGACAATGCACAAGAACAGTAATGGTATACACAATGTCCTGAGGAGATGTGTTCATTCACAGAAAGGTTTTTCTATGAATTAATTAGAGAAGAGTTCATTTTTATGGCCATTGTGTGTCTTTCCTAAGGGTAAATGTATTGAGAGTTGCTCTGTTATCAGCACTGGTTGCCATAGAACCAGAGGCCTGTTTTGCCTTTTTGAGGCGTTAGCCGCATTTCGGGGGAAGGGTCCATTGAGCCCTCATAGTTGTCTTGTTGATTGAGGGGTGTTACGGAGTATTTGTTAAATATAACAAAAAAAATTGTGTCTGATTAGTCCAGACGCTACATTTATATGAATTATATAACTAAAATTAAATAACTAATTACAGATTTAGGTTAAATAAAGATGTCAGTCTTTATTTTTCTTCTTTTTAGGGCAGCAGTAGCTCTAGCAGCAAAACAACCATCCACATCAAAAGCTGCAAGACAGCCCACAATTCAGCAAACATTTCAGAATTGTTGCTCAGAAATAAAATGTATTGTTCAGTGGAAAAACGTTTTTTAAGACATTTAAAAACAGCACATTTTAGAGCTGTAACAACAATACCGTGAAATCGTGATATTTTTGCTTAAGGTTATCATTCCATCAAAATCTCATACCGGCCCATGCCTACTATGGGCACACTGGGTCATATTTGTGACGCTCACCCTAGTCATGGGAAACTACAGCTCTTCTCACGCTGATGTCATTCTGCTATTACCTTGTTCCTCTAACCCCGTCATTCAACACCCTCCTCCCATCCTCCTTTCCCTTTGTCCCATGATCATTTCATTCATCAGTATTGAAGATTTCATCTTTATCAGTATTGTTTGCATTCTCTCTTGTGTACAAACTCATTCTTTTCCTTTCAGTTATCATTACCCTAATTTTTCCATTGTGTTTCTGTTTGCCTTTCTCCTTCTCTCCCTTGCTCTGTGTGGAAGCTATTAAATGTGAGGTCCCAGATGTGGCCCATTAACCCCTGCAAAGTTTTTTTTAAGACATTTAAAAACGGCACATTTTAGAGCTGTAACAACAATACCGTGAAATCGTGATATTTTTGCTTAAGGTTATCATTCCATCAAAATCTCATACCGGCCCATGCCTACTATGGGCACAATGGGTCATATTTGTGACGCTCACCCTAGTAGGAATCCAGGAGGGCCATGCTAAATTCCCTTTGTGCCCCTAAAACACCCACTAACACAAACACCAGCACACAATTCTTTATCTTTCACAGCAACTCCATCCAGGCTTCATCACCCACAGTTGTGTTTACAGACACACACGCACACTGATATGATTCTAATTGCTTCATGCTGACATGTGTAGGCATGTAGATCTGGTATTTGAATGCATTTAAGATGAAAACAAATCTGTGGTGAAATACTTGTGTTCTTATGTGATGCCTACCTTTGGTCGTGGTGGTGTTATGCGAGAGGATTTACCTGGTCATTGGCATACTTGGAGTATCTTTAATGCAGCATAGGTGCAGTCCTGACGTGAAGGTCTGTTTCAGAATGTAGATAACTTATGCAACAAGCTCAGTGAAAATAATGTATGCAGACAGAGAAATTAATTAAATTATCAGAAATATTGATTTAAAAGTCTAAAAAGTTTAAATATTTTAAGTATCAAACCATTAACTTGAACCACATGTGTCCACACTGTGTATCACTGCCGATTTTTGTGTCCAATGCTGCTCTTTCACCTAATGTTATATCTGTATTGGTTTTTATGGCAACAACGTTGTGTTGGTATGCCTATGCTAAAACACAACAACAGCATTACAGTTTGCAATACAGATGTTGAACATGTTTCCTTAGCACTGGAATATTACATCCTTATGAACCAACGGCAGAAAAGCTGGATTGCGCTGCTTTTTCCGTGCTGGTGTCTGCCGGCCTCAAAACTCAAAGAGGTGTGTTAGATCAGCAGTGTAATTTTCTGCTTGACTTGCAACAACACAACCTTGTTTCTGCAAAGACATTCAGCATGTTTTCTACAAACAATGTCTGACGTGTTTAGATTTTACGGGGCGTGAGGCAAAAAAGCTAGGGAAAAATCTGATCACAGCGGTTAGACTGAAATGGATTTCCAGAAATGCTGTGTGAATAAAAGTTCAAAGCACATATCAATGTAGCTTGAAATAGATTTGTAAAATTTTTTTTTTTTTTTTGCCATTCACTTGCTTAATATGATCAGATTCCAGTCAGATATGCACAAAAATAAGATTTGGACAGGCACACAGACATTTGTTCTGTGTGAATGACCTCTTAGAAGGCAGCCTATACAGGCAGCAGATAACAATGCTATTAAAGGTGCTGAAAAAGATCACTTGTGTGTATTGAGTGCACTTTGGTGCTAATCTCTCCCTCTCTCTCTCCCCCCTCTCTCTCTCTCTATCTCTCTCTCTCTCTCTCTCTCTCTATCTCTCTCT